TGGCATGACAACCAAAACCGCTATACCGAATAAAACGAATCCTGTTGTGCACACAGGACGTTATAAATGTTCCTTAACGTGAACGTGTATGCCCGTAAAATGCAAAGCGTATTCTCGGGTTTCAGTATAGTAACAATGTTCAGACGGAGTGACGAAATCAACTCGTGTGCAGGTGTTAGGTGGGGAGCATTAACATCGCAAGATCGTGTGACATTGCTGCGGCTTGGGAAGACCGCCATCCAGCAGTGGATTGACCACGGTTGATTATGACGATGGCACCGACAAACGGCAGTGAATGGTAGTGCAAAACGTGTACTCACCTCTGTGGCCACCAGACGTAAGTAGCGTCACTGCTTGAGACAAAACGTCCAGTGATGTCTCGGTCATCCTTCATCGGCTAGAACATTAAAATAAGGCGAATTGTCACTCACGTGTAGCAAGCACAGTAGTCGGGGAACTCGCCTTGTCACCTCTCCTATCCTACTCATCGTCTCGTATGCGCCACCACTCTGCGAATTATTCTCCCTCCTGGCCTCTTTTCAGGACGGCTCAGTAAACAAGCCCATTGCATCGGCTCGGATCTCAAACACTTCCAACCGGCCAGAGCCGGTAGGTCTCGACCCTTTTGTCAGAACACCAAACGAATTCGTTGGTACCCAAAGTGGCACCAAGTATCGACGTAAATTTCCGCACGCGCACACACACGCACCAGAGTTTGAGATGTGGAGACAAAAAGTCCCAGGCAGCACGTCTTTACCTGCTGCTGCTGCTGATGCCTTGGCCCACAAAACCCCAAAGTTGGCAGACCGTAATTAATGGTGGGGGATGGAAAGAAAAGGAGACAGGAGAGAAAGAACTCCCCGCCAACGGCGCGGCTTGCGATGCGAGCGATGCGTGGAATGCGGGGATGCCTAGGGCAGGTGACCCACAGTGGCGACCACCATTGGCTGCCCCAGTGTTTCTATTGTGCCTGGCTGCATGCAAATGATGGACCCCGGGGTGCTTGGCAGGCCCGCACTGGGCACACAGCCATTGCAGCATCACACAGCGTGACCATTGTTGCAAGGGGTGGTTGGTTTAGTGAGGCCCTACAAAATGTCACCGCAGTGCTCGCTTTCCAGAGGACGAATGTTAAGTCTCAAACTGGTTTGCGAGGCCGAAATGTCGACTGAGATCTTAGAAGACACTAAAGTCGTGTAACATCCATGACTTGCAGATTTCTTTGGTCACCATTGCAAAAAAAGAGACTGCCATAGCGTATTGCTTCGTGAAACAAGTTAATGTTTATTATTTTTGGCACGTACAAGTGTTCGGTTTATTTTAGTACAGCTGGATTCTAAATGCATTGTTATAAAGCACAGTAATGTAAATATTAAGCTTTTAGTCAATTGAAAAATTATCACGTGATCCAATGAAAAGCTATTTAGCATTTTGCCCAATGTATTTAGTGTGTATTTCAGATTGGACCACAGCAGGTTTCGCTACACGTGCTGAACTGAATTCAAGAAACTTCCAGCACGTTAACCGAAATGTCAGAAGTGCAACTTGCGGTACCACCAAAAAACACATCACAGGATAACGCACAACTGCGGTAACCTACCCTGCTTAATTTACACTGATCAATCTTCTCACTTTATCAACAGGCATGCGACTGAACCCTTTTGTGGAACACCGAATATTATACCCTGCTCCAGTTCTGTGTTTCGCCAACACCAAACACTATATAGCACTGTATACGGTTGACATACCGGTTCACAGGAAACAATTTGTTCATTCGACACCATGATTTTTATAATTTTATTCAGTTATGACGGTATTTACAGTTTGAAGCAAAAGCAGGTAAATACAATATATGGCATATCACAACACTACAGCATTTACCAAACCCATTGGAAAAAAGAAAACACCATTGAGAATTCACAGATGCCAATGTAATTTATTGGCACAAAATAACACGGTGGTTATTAACACGTTTGGTCACTTCTTCTGTAATGCCCGCTTTCCTTCTCCCTTCTTTGGCTTCCCTTTCCCCCGAAGTTTCTTGAGTCTCTTCATCTCTTCCCTGAAATCCTCGTGTTCATCTCTGAAACAACAAAGTTTCACCATAGGACCATCAACCAAGTCTCAGATATACTCATTACAAAGATCACTCAAGGAAAGCCAAAGGAAAGTGTTAACAATAGACATGTTATGATTAACCTACTTTCAAACTAAATTGTTAAATCTTTGGCTGCCAATAGATGATTGTGTCTATTTACCACCGCATTTGCATTGTTTCTATTTTTAGTCTCGTTTGTATAATTTTGTTCAACGCATTGGTCTAAGTCATGCTGCTATCTAACAACCCACCTAGCACCTGGCCACAAGATGATTTAATCACTCTATATATTACAGTAGATGTTCTCTTTGATTCTCTTGGGTATGTTCCCTCCGTTGGCTACTACTCAGTTGTTAATCTCGACCATTGTCTATCATCCCATCGAAATGTGATGCTAGTAACAATGTGCCCAAAGGTGTGAATACAGAAACAAATGGTTCATTCGTGAGCTAGGACAAGCACAGCTGCCCACCTGTAGAGGCCATGGAAGCGCAGGGTACGCATGAGCTGCGAGTACTCCTGGTGCGCTGGATAGTAGTTGACCACGTCTGGCTGCTTGGCCATGGGCCTCTCACTCATCAATGCCACCACCTTCATAGAGGATGCGTCGGTGGGCCGTGCCACCTCGCCGAAGATGCGTGCACTCAGCCTTGCCATGTGGCGCGCATAGTTGCTCAAGGTTGGAACCGCCGCCATGTGTCCTGACAGCCAGTCTGCACTCCATGGACACAGAAGGACATTGAGTCATGCTCTGGGCACGCATGGGGCAGTGGCTCTTGCAGCAGTGTTTGCCACTTGCTGCAGAGGTACACGGTTCGAGTGATAAGACCACCCTGATTCAGTCGGCTTTAGAGTGGGTGTTAAAGATCTCGTGACGGCATTATGGTCCAAATTTTTAAAATTTACTCGAAGATTAGTTACTTTAATTGGGAAACACTTATCAATTATTGCTCCCTGACTGCAAACACCATGACCTTCCTAAAAACGTCTTGACCCAGTGAAGCTTTCCTCGGTTTAACACTTGGTGGACATTATTTGGTGGCCAATTGCATGACACATTTTAGCCTTAGTTTGCCATACACAGTATTAAATCACGAAATGTGTTTTATGCAACCAGTCAGATGCCTGTTGTTCGTTGAATAAAATATCTTAAGTGTCACTTGGTTTGCAATGTAAATCAGTGTGATCTAAAAATCCAACTAAGGGTTTGCTTTCTCAAGTGATGGCAGGTCAAATATCTGATCTGGACCAAAGACTACCGTATATAGCTCGGCAAAACACTGAACTGAAGGGCTTCGACTGCAAGGCAGTTTCTCTAAGCATTGAGGGTTCAGAAAGCATCAACTTTACATTGCAACATTGCAGGTTACATTTGGAATTCCAAATTCGCATGCTTGTTTTTGTTGTAATACGGTTCGCGTTGGTGTCAATGTATTCTCACTGCAGTATTCTATGCAAAATCTTAATTACTACTGTACAGCATTCTTAATCGGTTATCCAATTAACTTTTTTTTTTAAACAGCATAAGCACTGTTAAATGCGGTCACGCACGAAGGGTGTACAGAGCCACGTTCCGTCGCCGCCTTTGTCTCTCCACAGTGCTGACGCTTACAAATCCGCAGCAGATACCACTGCTCATTTAAGGCTGAGTGGACATGGAATCTAACCCAGGTGGTGCAGTGTCAGTTGAGCAGTGAACTAACCACTGAGCCACCTTTGATGGGCTACACACTCCCCGGGTTTTTACAAGCACAGCCTCTTTGTTAGTCCACTGCTGGATGAGGGCCTCCTCACGCCGTGTCGGTCTTGGTGTTATGGGGGGGTGTTACATGACCATACTTCACCACTCTGGTCAATGCTGACTAAAGGCGGACGAAGCATGGTACAGTACAATAGAATGACATCGCTTACTCAAATAACAAAACGAAGACATAAACACAGCAGCAGATAAAAATGTACACATTAGACCTTTAAGGTTACTCAACGTTAAAAAGTGACACTACCCTCCAGCTCAAACAGTGGGAAGAACGGTGAGCGCATACCAATTGGTGCCAACGCGCACGACTTTGACAAACTACGCGTGTGCATATTTCACTTAATTTTCTAATTCAACGTTAATAATAATGATAATGGTTACCCGTATAATTAACAATGTCTCGTTATCCGCCAACTTTACCCGAGGAGGACTTCGCCGGGCGTGCGGTGACCTCCACACGCGTGGACACGACCCGGAAGCGAAACACTTCCGCGATAAATTGTTCGCCCCGGAAGTAAATCGTTAATATTAAATTGTAGTCGATATATATTTTTTTTATTTTCTCAACCTAACCGGACGATAATTCATCGATCGGATACAAATTTATTTATTTATTTCGAAAACGTCCTGCTTAAGAGTCGCGGACCGTGTTTGCCCTTTCACCTCCGACCAACCCCACCACGGTCGAGATTCGTTGAAGAGAAAAGCGCGGGAGCCGAGGTTTTAACTTTGCCGATTATCCGAAACGGCACCGTTCTAACATTATATACACACAGTCCTGTTAATGGGAAGTATAAAACAAATGCATTTACTTTGTGTGCGTAGAGGATGAGTGACTCCCTGTGTTGGGGGGTGAGCCTATATAATAAGTACAGTGAGCTTATATATGAGCTTATAATATAAAAAAAATTGGTGATTTGGAAAACGTTTTTTGGGTTTGGACATGTTTGTTTTGTTGTAGTACGGAGTTAGACTGATGGCCTTAATCTAAGTTGTCTTGTGGTTGTTTTTGTTGTTGTTTGACTTGCATCCCACTGGGACTTTTTGCACACAGCGTTGGTGTACGGTGCTTTTGTCAGGAATATTTTGATGTTTTTTGTTGCATGGATTTTCTGTTTGCACAGTCACACATAGTCACTTTAAGATGTTTTTCTTGTTCGTGTTTTTATTTGTTGTGGTTGCACCCGAGTCAAGTGCCGAATGGCTCACAGGGCTATACCAAAATAAACTGAACTATGTTGAGTAAGGTGAGCTTACTCAACATCAGGGCTCACAACTGCTTACTTTAGTAGTGGTGAGATTAATACAGTTGTGGGTGAGGAGCTCACCGTAGGGTGAGATGAACACACTGCTGGGTGGGGTGAACTTACCACAGTAAAGGGTTGAGAATATTACTCTGTGTGTGTGTGAGCTTGCTTACTACCAGAGTACAGGCTGAGAAGCCTTTCTCCATGTGTGTGGTGAGATTCGTAGAGAGGAGCTCACTGGCGAGGCACCATAGTGAGGAACTTGATATCGACTACAGAGTGAGCTGCTCGAATAGACGGGTCCAGACATCGATACGCAGACTGTATCTGTCCGCATTTAAAACAAAAATATTTTACACATACCATCAGTGAGTGTATAATTTGGACGGCGTGGAGCACAGGACATGCAAACTAGACCGGTTGTCTTCATCAGCAGTCTGGCTCGGTTGAATCGATGCCAATGAACCGCCCGATGTTAGAGGTAATGTCGCCTTGACGAAAAGGAGGGTAAGGAGCCCTAGTGTCGTATACTTTAGAATGTATAGATGTGTAATTAGCGCCTTATTCCAAGGCGCTTTACAGCAATTTTCACATTGTACGTACAATGACAGTGGTTCAGATAATGGGTGGGATTATTAAAAGTGGTCGTGGTGACAAGAGAACACAAACCTGTCAACCCCTTATCAGTGCCCTACCTTATTACAGAACAATTCAGACCTTATTGGTCACCTCGTGCCCCTTATAAATCTCAGCGTTCATCCTGCAAAGTCCCATGACAAGGGAGAAACACAAACAAATAGACAAAACAATATGTTTTGCCCGTATTGAAACGGCTGTACGCCACGTGGACGTGAAAACTCAATTTCCCTGTACAAGAATACGGGGTAAACCGTACGGGTTGACAGGTATGAGAGCAGGTATGTATGTACTGTGTGTATGTTGAACTTCTTTTGCACAGTACGTAGGTTGAGGAGTTGGGGTAGACCTGCTCACAGCTGGGGGGCGAGGGCAGGGGAGAAGCTTGATTTGATGGGCCTGGGAGAGGAGATGGGTTTTAAGTGAGGAACAGAAGTAGGTTATGTCGAGGAGCTCACTTATACTCTTAGTACACCAGATTACATTACAGGGTGGTCCAGATGTCTTGTGACCCCCCCCCCCCCCAATTAATTGACCCCAAATTGTTTTTCTTCCTTTGCATATTCATCTCTGTTTTAAATAAACCTTACTTCAAAAAGATTACGTTTTAGATCATTAAATGGGGGTCACACGACATCTGGACCACCCTGTATATTGTTTATGACTGCAGTGGATTATATTGAGCGTGGTGAGGTATGGTCAAATAAGCTATCCACGATGCGCAGGGAGGAATGTGTTTAAATGCATTTTACTCCCCACGTCATGACAACTGTTTTTTTATTTGGCAGTGATGCACCCATCATCACTGACATTACCTGCAAAGTGGTGAAGACAGGGCGCTCTTCACAGGTACACACATCCCATTCATTCACCGTGTGCATTAACTCGCTCTCCTTTACTACTTCAGCCCACGGGTGTGTTGGAGAGTAAATCCACGACATCTACAACTTGAGTACGGCGTTTCGCTGGTAATTACATCCAGCATCGGGCGATTTGCCAGAATAGAAAGCCTATGTGTTACACTTAAAATGAGATTTAAATTAAACTAAAAACAATGATTATTATCCATGAAAGAAATAACTTTATGTATTCGCCAACACCAACTCATGAAGGCCAAGTTCCAAGTTTATTTTGTTAGACAAGGTGAGAAAGTAATAGACCAAGACAGCCTGATTTGCAATTGGCTTGCATTGAGAGTAAACATTCTTAGTACTTTGAATAAACCTGTTATATATTTTCAACTGTTCCTGGTTTAAATTATTTAAATAGCCTGCACACCTTTGTTTATGCAGGTGGTGACAACAATTAGGTGGTGTCACATCTCCACAACACTCGCCACAATGGTGGTTAGCAAAGGTGAATAATCGTGCATGAAACTCAATTCCTTTCCCGGTCTTCCCCTCTGGCTGCAGTGATGAATGGCAAGCTCATACCATACACGCCACTGGCTGTGGATTTCTGGCGGGTGGCCAAGTTCCCTGAGGCGAGGATTTTCTTCCTGAGCCATATGCACGCCGATCACACAAGTGGGCTCACCCCGACTTGGAGCCGGCCAATCTACTGCTCTCCCATCACCGCCGTGCTCCTCAAACGCAAATTTAATGTACGCGCACGCGCCTCACTTGCTCACAGAAGTTGGCGGTCTGTCTTTTTTTAAATGTGCCCCAGGCGGTCACCTGATATTAGTCATGTACGAAAGCCAAAAGGACTGTTTTATGTTTAGCTTATAACAGGGGTCGGGAACCTATGGCTCGCGAGCCAGATGTGGCTCTTTTGATGATTGCATATGGCTCGCAGATAAAACAAAATATTCTCACTTGTTTTAATCCATCCATCGATTTTTCACTGCGCATGTCCTGTTCAGGGCTGCAGGAGCAATTGTCCATTATTTTAATTGGATGATACTGGCCTACGTTTGCCGTTGCTGGGTAAAACAGGTAAACGCCCCCTTTTGAATCAGTCTGAGACTGCGTCTGCTCGGTCATTAGCTCAAAGCTAACCCTTCGACGAAGAAGATGGCGAAAAGAAAAAAAGACGACGAGTATCGTACATTTCAGGACGAATGGACCGAAGAATTCGCCTTTGTGGAGAGAGCGGGTTCTGCGGTGTGTCTAATTTGCAATGACAAAATTACATCGTTGAAACGGTCGAATGTAAAGCGGCACTTCGACACGCGCCACGCTACCTTTGCATCAAAATACCCTGCGGGAGACAGCAGAAAGAAAGCGTGCCAAGAGCTTCTGAGCAGGGTGCAAGCTAGCCAGCAGCAACTCCGCGTATGGACCCGGCAAGGTGACTATAATTCGGCTAGCTTTGCTGGTTCTTTAGCAATAGTGAGGAACGGAAAACCATTCACAGATGGCGAGTATGCTAAAACGTTCATGCTGGATGTAGCCAATGAACTTTTTGATGATCTTCCGAACAAAGACAAGATAATCAAACGGATACAAGACATGCCTCCGTCGGCAAGAACTGTTCATGATCGTACCATCGTGATGGCAAACAAAGTGGAGGAAACGCAAGTGAAGGACATAAATGCAGCGCCGTTCTTTTCTCTGGCTTTGGATGAGTCAACAGACGTGAGCCATTTGTCGCAGTTCAGCGTGATTGCAAGATATGCTGTTGGTGACACACTGCGCGAAGAAAGTCTTGCTGTTCTGCCATTAAAAGGGTCCACAAGAGGTGAGGATTTATTCAAGTCTTTCATGGAGTTTGCTCAAGAAAAAAGTCTACCTATGGATAAACTTCTCTCAGTGTGTACTGATGGTGCTCCGTGTATGGTGGGGAAAAACAAAGGATTTGTGGCGCTTCTCCGTGAACATAAAAATAGACCCATCCTAAGTTTCCATTGCATTATACACCAGGAGGCACTTTGTGCTCAGATGTGTGACAGGCAGTTTGGCGAAGTGATGTCGCTGGTCATTCGTGTGATCAACTTTATTGTTGCCCGAGCCTTAAATGATCGCCAGTTTAAAACACTGCTGGATGAAGTTGTAAATAACTATCCTGGTCTGCTTTTGCACAGCAATGTGCGTTGGTTGTCAAGAGGGAAGGTGCTTAGCCGTTTTGCGGCTTGCCTGAACGAAATCCGGACTTTCCTTGAAATGAAAGGCGTCGGGCATCCTGAGCTAGCCGACACCGAGTGGCTCCTCAAGTTTTACTATCTCATAGATCTGACTGAACATCTGAACCAGCTCAACGTGAAAATGCAAGGCATTGGAAATACAGTGTTATCCCTTCAACAAGCTGTATTTGCTTTTGAAAACAAGCTGGAGCTTTTCATCACGGATCTTGAAACAGGTCGTTTACTACATTTTGAAAAACTGAGCCAATTTAAAGATGCATGCACAGCAAGTGAGCCCATTCAAAACCTTGATCTCCACCAGCTAGCTGGCTGCACATCCAGTCTCCTACAGTCCTTCAAAGCACGCTTTGGAGAATTTCGTGAGCACACTCGTCTTTTTAAGTTCATCACCCATCCAAACGAGTGTTCACTGAACACAGCCGACCTGAATTACATCCCTGGTGTCTCCGTCAGAGATTTTGAAGCAGAAGTGGCTGACCTGAAGGCCTCAGACATGTGGGTGAATAAGTTCAAGTCACTGAATGAAGATTTGGAAAGAATCACACGATAGAAAGCGGAGTTGGCGAGCAAGCACATGTGGACAGAAATGAAAAAACTCCAACTCGAAGACCAAAGACCAGCTGATTCTCAAAACTTGGAACGCGCTTCCTGTCACATACCACACACTGCAGCGTGTGAGTATTGCTGTATTGACCATGTTTGGATCTACGTATGCATGTGAGCAGTCATTCTCACATCTTAAAAACATCAAGTCCAACCTACGATCACGTTTAACGGATGAAAGCCTCAACGCTTGCATGAAGCTTAACCTCACCAAGTACCAACCCGACTACAAAGACATCAGCAAATCCATGCAGCACCAGAAGTCGCATTAATGGTGAGTGTTATAACAACATTATTTAAAAGAATAAATTCAGAGGCTTATTATACTGACATTTAGTTGAATTCACTTTTAAAATATATTATATGGCTCTCACTGAAATAAATTTCCAATTTTTTTGCTTTCATGGCTCTCTTAGTCAAAAAGGTTCCCGACCCCTGGCTTATAACATTAGGTCAAGGAATGATGGTCATTGGTTAAGACTAACAATGCATTCGCAGCCAATGGAGAGAACACTTTGGAGAATAAGTCCCAGCGCGGAGATGGAGCAATGATATTGGCTGGCGTACAGGTGCTAGTTGGGTTCTTTCAGTACAGGACCATGAGCTATGGTGAAGGCTTGCCGAGGTGTTCATCCAGCAGTAGATTAATCGTGGCTGATGATTATGGTCACTGGCGGAGCCAGTGGGGGGGGGTGGGGTGGCACGTGCCCCCCCCAATAATCCGATCGAAATCCTTAATTTTGATTATGTGCCAGGGACTCTATGAGATGATAGGACAATAGTCTTAGTCCATAATTGGCAATAAGTAACAGCAAAGCAGTTTTAAGTGACTCAGAATTGTGCGCAGTTGCGTATACAGTCCACGACTTCCCTGAAGGTAAACACCTTCAGCGAGGGCGATGCCGATCACACATGGTTCGAATTCGACCCTCGATCAATGGCTGCGCCATCGCCGCACACGCGTAGAATAAAAAGCAAGGGACAAGTCCTTACTTGCTAACAACTCCTGGCTGCGCCATTGATTATGGTATTAAGGAATATTTAGGTGCAGCCTTCAAATTATTTGTTTCCTATTATAAACCATTATTAAAGTATAAATACAATATATATAACAAATAGCTTGGACAGTGGCCTTTCAGAGGCAGATGATTGGTATAATTAGAGGCAATGTTTTATAATTTTGGGACTAAAATAAAAAAAATAGAGTTCCATTAACAGATTTTAGATGGCATTTTATCAAAATTGAATGTGATTGCATGAAATTCATTTCGTGAAAAAATTTATAATTTACAGAGCTTGGCATGGTGACGTGTATTGATAATGCTGTGCTTTTGGATTGGTGGATCACGTAGGTTTGTGAAATCTCCCAAACTCGCTGAACTGTGTGTTGGTCATGAGATTGCAGTTGAGAAAATGATTTATGAACCCATCTGTGCAGAAGGTTGAGTATTTTCTACATTATAAGCATGGGATTTCCCTGGTTACTCCAGCCATTTTATACCCACATTAAAAACATATCATTATTGTGGAAGTGGCCAAACGTTGGACCCTCCTAAAAAATTCGTTAGATGAGATAAGATAAATAAATACATAAATTGATGAGAATGTCAGTCCAGTGTTTTCGAGGAGGAACATGAATTACAGTACATGACCATGAAAATAACACGTGTTTGTGTGAGAGATAATCGAGCATTGTGTAACGGCGGTGTTAACATGATCTGTTTAGATTGCCGACAAGTTCATTCGCCCGCTGGAGCTGGGAGAGAGCCACTGTGTGCCCCTAGATGGAGTGGGCAAGGAGACGATGACGGTGACACTCATTGATGCCAACCACTGCCCGGGTGCCGTCATGTTTCTGTTCCAAGGTTACTTTGGCAACATTCTGTACACTGGTATGTGTGGTGTGTGATTTAATAGAACTACATTTTAATAGCTTCCAGAATATAACCCCACATGCTTGGTTAAATTAATGTGGTTCCAACTAGTGGAGGTACGATTGACTGTACGACAACAGTTGTAATATTCGTGAAATTGTAGTTGTTGCTCTGCATCTACATCATTCATATGAAAGAAGATGAGTGATTCGATTCAATATTTTTTACATTTAATGGACACATGACCACAGTGAGCATATGAATCACATCACATACAACTATAGAAATCGATACACTTAAATTGTTATACAATGTCTTGGGACCTCCTTTACCAGTACCAAAATACGATAATAGGTTTTTTCCCCTTTTTTCTGGCACCAATTGGGTCGTGGCTCAAAAGAAAGCCGTCCCTTGGTGTGGACCAATCAGTTTCAAGGACAATGCATATATTATCATAGTGTGTTTTTTATTTGCATTTGACTGCAGGTATTGTGGTTAATGCAGACATGAATCCTTGTAAAAAGGTTTCAGTTTTGTTGCCAGAAAAAAGGGAAAAAACCCTATCAACAAAACAGGTGTTAAGATGTTAAAACACCAAACTGAAACCTTTTACAAGGAATCATGACTGCATTAACCACAATGCTTGTGGTCAGAATGCAAACAAAAAATACTCTGATAAGAAATGCATTGTCTTTGAAACTTATTGGTCCACACCAGAGACAGCTTTCTTTGGAACCGGGTCTCAAAACGTGTTAGACGCCTTTTGGCGTCCTCTGGTCTAACACCGTTTGAGACGAGGCTCAAAAGAAAGCTGTCTCTGGTGTGGACCAATCAGTTTCAAAGACAATGCATTTCTTATCAGAGTATGTTTTTGTTTGCATTCTGACCACAAGCATTGTGGTTAACGCAGACATAATTCCTTGTAAAAGTTTTCAGTTTGGTGTTTTAACATCTTAACACCCGTTGTGTTGCCAGAAAAAAGGGGAAAAACCTAGTATGTTATACAATGCATATCGTTTTATCTTAACAATCGACGTTGATAAATCAAAGCCTCGTTACACCTCAGATACCAACTATGTCTAGAAAGTGTGAGCCTATGCTTCTACACATCGAATATTTAATTTAGAAACATGAGCACTCATTAAGCTCTTATTTTAAGAAATTATATAAATATCTCAAAATATTTTTCTTGTCCTCTTATGCTTATGTTCATGAATGAAAAATTTCATTTGATGGATTCTGATTGGTGCTCAAACCATAGACTCAAAATGTGTTTAATTTAATGAGGGTTTGTATACTTACAAATGCGAGACTTATTTAGTGACTCTATTTGGAATGTTGGCCCTTTGCTATAGATAAGAAAAACTGCTCGTACATTGAGCATTCATTCCCTTGATTTAAATGATTATTTGGTGTTTTGCAGGTGATTTCAGATTTATTCCAGAGATGCTTAAGCTGCCTCTGCTGCAAACCAATATTATAATCGATGTTCTGTACTTGGATAACACATACTGCCCTTCAAAGTGGCACTTTCCTTCACGAGAAGATGCCACAGAAGAGATCAAGATAATAATACGAAACCACCCAGACCATCAGGTTGTTATCGGTATGACTTGGTTTTCTTTATATAACAACTTTCATTTCAGTGCATGAAATTGCAACACACACAGCCACTATTCACCCCTCATGGAGACTTACAAAGGTTTATTTCTGCACCTTTTTTGGTTTTTACCTGGTGGGAATTGAGTTCCACTGTTTTTTATAAACCCCTTGTTATGAAATATGGTTATTCGATTATATCAGTAATGAGTGGCTCTTTGTATACCATTTTTTTCTTAATGACATTGGGTGGATAATGCATTACCTTAGTATATCATCCATGTTAAAAAACGCTACCCATGTTCAGTAGAAACTTGTGATATGAAAAACAGTATATCGATGAAGAGGGCATAATTTAAAACACAAATTACTTTCTGCTACTACTCATCTTTTCACGGTTGTTCTGTATAGCCCTTTGGTGTGTATTTTTAGTTTTGCTGCGTATTGTTTAGCACAATGTCCTACATTTCACTGTCCGTTCTAGAAGCTTCTGCAACATCTCAATTCTCTTTTGTGTAGGCACATACTCACTCGGGAAAGAGTCTCTGCTGGTAGAGCTGGCAATGGAGTTTGGGTGGCTGGGGGTAAGTCCAGAACGCATGGAGACGCTGCAGCTGCTTGGCCTGCCCAACGTGTTCACGACGGCCACAGATGAGTGCCGCTTGCGGGTCGTGGACGCGCACCAATTGAACAGCCGCAGCATGGCACACTGGAACTGTGAGTGCCCCACCATCGCCGTGCTGCCCTCGGGCAACCGTGCTGGCCGGCAGCCGTGCGACTCCATTTTCATCGTACCCTACTCGGACCACTCCTCTTACGGCGAGCTGCGCCAATTTGTCGCCGGGCTACAGCCGCGAGCCATCGTGCCCATCAACAAGGGGCCCAGCTGCGAGAGATACTTCAGGGAGTTCCTCAGCACCGCGCAGAGCAGCCAGAGTAAAACGATCATTATTCCGGAGTCGGTGCAGAGGTTTATGAAGGAAGGCGGCGGGGTTTCTGCTTGTAGTAATAAATGTTTGCCGAAAAGGAAAGCCTGCATTTTTCGGACCTCCAGAACACACATCCCCAAGGGGGTATGCTTCGACAGTCCCAAATCTTCCATCGCAACACATTCGCCTCCACGTGTCATAATTGCGAGTTCTGAGGATGATGATGAAGCTGGCGATTATGATTCCATACGTGTTATAAAAAATGAAGATGACAAGCCCTTTACCTTGCCTTCTGAATCTATTGCAATCCCATTAAGCTTTGACAGTGATAACATAAGTGATTCAAAATCGACCAAAGTAATCATGGACACAAAGTCTGTCTACAAGTCAGCTGTTGAGGCTTCAGTTCATTCACATGCTGATGAATCGAGAGTGAAAAGGAAACTTGATTATGCAGAAAGTCTGAGCTCGGAGTCCTTCCCAAAGCATGTAACATGCGTTGAAGATAAATGCTCTTTTGACTCGTTGCCTTCCCCTTCACGGCGGCCATATGACGGCACAGGCGACCGGCAAAGTGCATCGAGCGAAGCGCGCGTTTTAACAAACTCTCCTAAATCCGCTGATGGTCCCTGTATTGTGGGTGCACTTTCGTGCAAGAGTGAGGGCCATCCTGTGGACTTTCACACACCATTGATGGGTGGCAGACTTTCTGTTATTCTCAAGAGAAAAGTGCAGAGCTGCAGCCAGACCCAGGCTGGAAAATGTAACATCATATTGTCCCCACTTCATGCCTTTTTGAGTGAAAAGGAGAAGAGGTTGTCCTTTAATCGACTTGTGGAGAAGTGCATGCAGAGAAAATAAACGCACCGTTAGGTGGCGTCTTCCTGGAGCAAGCAGGTTAATTGTGCAAACGAAACTAGCATAACTTTCCAGAAACGTATTATACTGTACATGTGTAATTAAATTATTCACTGTTTTTGTTTTGAAACTTGTTTTCATTGTTTGCATTATTTACAGCATAACTTTGTTTTTTTTTTTCACACGTTTAAACGTTTTATTTGTGGGGATTAAAGGACTTGTTCACACTGAAGGGTCATTGCAAAACGCTTCCCGAATTCAACTTCATAATTCACCCGCTCATCCCTGGTACAAAATCTCTCCTTTACAAAGGGTTGTGAGGCACACACGTCTTTCATCATCATAAAGGACAAAAGTCTGGCCGTCGTCAATATAGAACACGCCGGGTGTATTCATGTTTCACGTAACATAGCCACCCACATTACATGAGGGATTTGGTGGGGGTGGGGAGTGGAACGTTGAAAGGGGGCTTTTTTGCTAGGTGACTGCATTTGTTGGTCTGTTCAATAAATACCTGAAAATAACAAACACGGGTCTGGAACTTCTCTACAACTACTGTAATTTTAAAACATGTAATGCTTTGTATATCTGCTTGGGACATACATTTGGGATGGCTCAAAAAGTTCGTGCTGTCTTCAATGTGCCATGTCCAGTTTAAAATGAAAACAATTTCAAAATTACTTGTTTACATGAAAAAGTTTACTAAAAAAGACTGAAACGAATTACAAAGTTCTATATATGCCATACGACCTTATAAAACGTGGGAAATGCTCCATGTACACAACACAGTAAATTTAACATTTGCACAGTAAGCATTGATGTCTAAAACAAAATAAATTATTAAAACATTCCAAACGTATGTGCATTTAACCGACATCATACCTATGCCTGGGTGGAACGGTGGCTCGGTGATTCGCGCACTACACTATGAATAAAGACATTTTAAAAAGTTAAATTCCCAGCTATGGCCGCCACGTTTTCGAGAGACTATCCAGCAGTGGATTCACAAAAATGGCAGTAAATTATCAAGTTTTGGCCACTGACAGCAGTGCAACGTTTAATTTTATACGTGGGCTTTCACGACCAATATAACTAATAATTTATTTTTGGTATGTCAGTTTTTAACCAAAAATTGGTGTACCTTCAAAATCAAATCCAAAAAGAAACCCGAATTAGTTCATACCTTGTTAAACATTTCTATTGTCAGGTGCTGGAAGCTTGCAGACACCCAAGGGGAATATACCCAAGAACGATTTAATTTAATGTACCGCATGTTTCTCCGATCAAAACGTATGCATATTGTCCAGCTTAAAAGACAAATGAGACGTTCGGTTAATTCATGAAATCGTGGACTTTGATTCGCGTGGCTTGGCATTGACCAGAATACGATAAAGCTCTCGTACAGATGTTTATAATTCTATGCAATGGCTTAAATAGGGTGGCATGTCTTCTGCAGGGCTGTGTTGCATCCGGCTACTGCTTTTCACGGTTGCTGTTGTTCGTGCGGTGCCTCCTGTGATTGTGAAGGATGTGCGATGAGCCGCGCAAACTCGCCCGGAACGCACCTGCAGGACATCAGAATCAGTCATCAGCCACATACTACTTAACAGCCTCGCATTTAACCGCTGTGTTGCTTTAGCGTGGGTCTTCACAGTAACGTATTGAATGTACAGGGTGGTCCAGATGTCTTGTGACCCCCAAATTAAATTTCGATGTAAAGCTTTCGTGACTGCAGGGATTCATATTAATTATTATTTCGGTAAAGTCACGTAGAAGGGAAACAATAAAATAATAAAAAATATAAAACAATAAAATTATCACGACCTTTCGACTGCAACACAAGCAATCATCATCAGGTGTGAAAACCACAGCAAGAAAATTTGATTATATTGATGTATTTTATATATTTTTTTCACATCGGTTTATTGTATGGAAGTAGGGTAGTTGCATTTCTTTAGCGTCAATATCCTAAATTCCTCTGTTGATATGTAAACTCCTTTGTCAAGGCAGTCTGCTCGTCCCACCCAGCTTAAATATACGCTGCCAAGGTTAGCAGTGTTCATTACGACGCTGTTTTTCAGACAGCTCTGTTCTTCACCTGAGGACGGCTGCTTGTGTTGTGGCCGAAACGTCGTGCGAATTTTATTATGTAAAATTTTTATTATTTTATTATTTCCCGTCTACGTGACTTTACCGACAGAACCAAGAATATGAACCCCCAAATTAATTTAACTCTAATTTTTGTGTTGCCATTGCATATTCATTTCTGTTTTGAATAAACCTTAAAAAATATATTAATTTTTCGAGAATACAATTTTGACTTAAAACTTTCGTGACTGCAGGAATTCATATTCTATGGTTCTTTCGGCAAAGTCACGTAGATAGAAAGAAGAAAAATTCTATCTACGTGACTTTTTTGAGAATTAATTGGTGGCCACAAGATATCTGAACCGCCCTGTACATTGGAAGCGGTTGAGTAGCTCAAGAGCCAGACCAATGGGCCAGCACTGTTGAGGCCCCGAGTTTGATTCCAGGGTTCAACCAATCTGTGATTAAACTCGGTTCAACAATTGCTTGGAGTTGACGGTCTCAGCCCAGCCAATAATGACTGCACAAAAACTCAGAACTTAATTTGGAGTTTCTCTTCATTTGACACTCAAGCATTGCAACTTCAAAAAGGCAAAACACGCAATATTTTTTTTAGTAATCACTATGTACATGTACGGTCCGTTTGTCAATCCACTGCTGGATGAGGGCCTCTATGCCGCGCAGTCAGAGGGCTTTTTTGATCATACGTAACCACGCTGATAGGTGCGCGGAGCACAGAACAATGCTTTGCAGCACTGCCCTCTGCTGCATACAATGTGTTATTCATGGGGATCGTCCATCCAGGCACACGAACCTTAAATCTGCTTAGCATTCAACGTCTTGACGGAATCTAGCGCATTCCAGGTGGTTTTGTTTTCGCCACGGTAAGTAATTAGACTTCTCAAATTACTACCAAACATACCACGAGAAGCTTAATGTGCAAACATTGCTATTTTGTCAATTTATTCTGCAGGTGTGATGTTTAACGGCGGGATCGCGTGACGTCAAACAGGTGTGCGAATTGCAATGTGCTTGCTCTACATATCCTCTTGTCGAGCCATGCACCGATGCACGAGATAGTTGGGGTGTTTCGTTGCGGGTTAGGGTTTAACAGTGCTCAATTTAACTTTGTCAAAATGTGATTGTCATTCCGTGTGACTGCGCTGGTTGTAAGCCTTGCTTTCTCCTAATCTGGGTTATGAAACTGGTCCTTATGAAACTGGTCCAAGCGCAAAATGCCCAGTGCTTGCCAATTCAGGTAAAACAGATTTATAATCGCACGCACGTTGACTCATGTCAGATACTCTGCTCTGAGATACATACCAATTGACTTGCTGATGATTATGCCCTCTAAAAGCTGTCGCGGGAGGCGCTGCATTTCTCCACTTAGCAGCGCAGGAAACCATTGAGTGGGCGGCCAAAACGTGACATCCCATCCAAGCTTTTCCCGTCATATGGAAGAACAAGGATACGTATAGTGCTGCTGCTGTTGATGATGATCATGCTAAGGATACGTACGCATCTGCATGTACTTGTAGGGTGCTTACTGAAATGCCGCAACAACTCAAAGCATCTTACATCATGACATCTCACGTTAACCATCCCGATGCCTTTCATGCAGTCTTGCCTAGGAAGTCTCCCCCCACCACCACCCTCCGCTTCAGCTGTTGTTCCTGTGTAGCAAAAATGTGTGCGGACCCAGCCCACTGGCTTCTTGCAAATGGGCATTAGTCTCCCGGATGATGACGATGACATTGCTGCTGCCAACGATGATGATTATTAGTCCTATTGACCCTAATTTCGCTGCGATTCATGATAGTGGTTATTTCAGCTGCCCATGGTGTGGGTGATAATTAACAGCGCTAATAGCAGTAAACTAATGACGGACGGAGTTGGTGAACGTGGTGATGATGATGATGATTCAGGAGTTGGTTATAGTGGATGATTGTTATGATAAATTATACGTTTTTTTATATAGTGCCCTCAACGCTGGTGAGTCTAAAAACGCTTTATACGCGACAAACGACTTACATGACGTTTCATCTCAACACTAATTGAAAGGGGGCACCACCAGTGGCAGCTTTCCAAGAGGGCACAAGGTAACTCAGCACCTGGCCTGCAAGCGGGCATTAGTCTACCAGTAAAGGGGCGATTAACGGTGCCATGTGTAACCCAAGTTGAGTAATGACAACGAAGTTGGTGATCGTGGATGCTAATGAAAATTATGATGACGACGGAGCTTGTGTGGGAGTGTATGAATGTTATGATGATGATGACGACGGTGATGATCATGGTCACGCACGTGTAGGCCCTCTCACCAATGTTCCTAGACACACTCTTGAGCGTGCACGTGCCGCCGAGCAGGGGAGAGCACGTGTACAGGCCGTAGCAGCCCCCGCACTGTGCTGCACGGTCACAAGGCCTGCCCTCCACCTCGGCACACGCGGACTGCGCTCACGGAGACATGGAGACAGGTCCGGTTTAAAAATGTTGTACGCCCACCTGGGCTACGGGCACTGCGAGGCTCCCAGTAATATTTTCAAAAGGAAAACAAATATTCTTAGCTCTTTCGGTAAAGTCACGTTGAAGGGAAGCAATAAAATAATAAAATATATATAAAACAATAAAAACAAATTTTGATTTAAAGCTTTCGTGACTGCAGTAATTCATATTCTTAGTTTTTTCGGTAAAGTCACGTTGAAGAGAAACAACAAAATAATAAAATATATAATGTTTATTGTTTATATATTTTATTATTTTGTTGTTTCTCTTCAACGTGACTTTACCGAAAAAACTAAGAATATAAATAAAAACAAAGTTAAAGAAAAATACAATTTATTTTGATTTGAAGCTTTCGTGGACCGCAGGAATCCACACTCTTTGGTTCTTTCGGTAAAGTCACGTAGATAGAAAATTAATAGATCACGACGTTTCGATCGCAACACAAGTAACCGTCATCAGGTGATCACATCAGGTCACATCAGGTGATCACCTGATGACGGTTTGCTTGTGTTGCGATCGAAACGTCGTGATTATATTAATTTTCTATCTACGTGACTTTACCGAAAGAACCAAAGGGTACAATTTATTTTTTACAAGGCTAACAACGAATAAAATTCACAAATGAAATAAATTTTCACTTCATCTCTGGAGGCCCTCCGGCTGGCGGAGGCCCCAGGCCTGCAGTTCCGAAAGCCCCCACGCCTCTTAATCCGGCCCTGCATGGAGAACACTCATTAGCCGCGAGACATGGGACCTCGATAACACGCACGGCGTTATAGGAGTCGCACGTGTGGTTCCCTGCTCAAATGAGCACCGGTGTGCTGCTTATCTACAGTTTAAAAGCGCGCGAGACAGTGGTGGAAATTCCACATTCATATGGCGGGGCTGTGTCTATCCATCGGACAGCGGTAGTCGTTTTACCGACCCCTGGGAATAATGGGCCGAGTCACGCCCCGACTAGAATTTAAATTCGCCTATATATGATAGGGCATTATAAAATATACTTAATAAACACCAAAGCGCATTCGGTTGCAATGCGTTTGACAATGCCGTGTGATTTTACTGGATGTAACTATCAAATATTAATTGTAATCAAAACTTTGCAATAATTATGAAATCGTCAACATCTTTCCATCAAGTAATCATCAAAAAATAAGTAATCTTCGTCATCAAAATTATCGTCAAATTCTCCCATCGTGATTATCAAATTATCATCATCATTATCAGCCACGATCAATCCATTGCTGGATTAAGCCACCGCATCGCCCGCTTTCAGACGCGCTTCTGCGGCCGTCTGGTGCGCTCCTCCTTCCGATATTAGGAAGCCACTGGAGCTGCGCACTTTTAAAATAAAAAATAAACTAATTTCTTCACGTGTTTAGTTTGTTTTCCTTCCCCTGCATCTCCGATTAACACGGTTGCCTGCGTACGGTGCGAGAGAAGTTCAACATAGTCCTGCGATGTAGGCAATCCATCCAGCACCACCTACACACCAACTATCATTGTATCTCAATTCTATTCGAACTATGCACAGCAGCTCTGCTACGCAGAAACTCGTTCTGCCGTATCCACCAACGCGCAATTACGCATTCAATTCAAGCACGTGCAAGGTGCGACACGAACACGCCCGTTACCCCGTCCGTGTTGAACCCTCCATGGTGCTTGCTGCTCGGTGCGAAGCCGAGGTCCCTCGGAGCTACTTGGTCCTCCTCGTGGTCCATTCGAAGTTGCTGCTGCTGCTGGTGGTGGTGGTTGGGTTGCCGACTTCGACGCGGACCATGCAAGGAGCGACTTTGCGCCATCCCGGGTCCCGAGTCTGGGCCGCTCGCCCGGCTGCGCCCCGCCAAAGGTGGAGGAGCTGACGACGGATGTAGCTGTGGCAGCTCGTCCCTGCCCGAGCCACCACGTTTGTGGTGGTGGTGGTGGTCGTCGTCATGCTCAGGAATCGACGCCGCCGCCGCCGCCGCTAGCGCCACCGTCAGAATGAGAAGAGCGCACATGGGGGATGGGACCACGCGTCTCCGTGCCCGCTGCTGCTCCTGCTGCCACATCACCTTGAAAGTGAACAACTCGACTCCCGTCACCTGCCGATAGAGAGGTGAACGATGCATGCCACCGGTTAAATTACACACTACCGCGTGATGAGCAATGCCAGTTGTTCGTGATCAATGATATTCAAACGCTGGATACATCAATACGTATGCTTTCGCGACCAATATAATTGATAATTTATTTCGGGTCAATAACGTACACCCAGTCAATAATGTCTGCTGCAAATGTGGCAACTGCCTTATGATGCAGCTTGTAACTACTACCAGTGAAACGTCGTAACCTGATTGTTACATTTTGTAAAAAAAAAAGTGAATTTGACTCTTCAACAGTCATCGATTGGCACGTTTGTTTAAGTGACAACTTTATTAATTGGCTGCGTCGGGTGGCGGAGGGCTGAACTACACACAATTTACTTACGCGGTTACCGCAATGGATGTGATGTTACGTGCGTTATTATAGCAATGTATATGTATAAAACAGTCATGTATATTTATAATAATGTACCGTATTTGTATAGCAGACCTCGACATTGGCATTTAGCACGGTTGGCTACGTACGGTGCGAAGGAAGTTCAACATACTGACATTTAGGTCCGGAATATATTCCCCATATGGACGAATCTTATATAATTTTACACAGAGTTTAATTCGTTGTGATATTGTTATAATGTATTTCCAGTATTATTTGTTATTTCAACATTTTAAACATGTTTATAAAACAGAGACAGGATGGGTCATTACGCGAGGCAATATATCCAAGTATTAGTTGCAAATGAGTCTGGTTGCAGATGCAGTTTATGTATGTACGTATGCTATATGTTTAGGTCAATAGATTACAATCCACTTTAGATATTTAAAACATGTAACATTAAAGCGTATTCTCCTCTATGAAAACCGCGTAAAAAATAAAACAAGGTTCAGTCTATCAGCCCATTGACCTTTGGAGTCAGACTTAAATGAATCACCCATTTGTGTAAATACACTGACATCGTCTTGACCGTCTGCGGATCATCAGTAGAGTCGGGAATGAAACGCAAAATACTTCTGTTAGTGGTAAGTGTCCTCTCGTCTACAATCTACATCACAGGCCATCAACTTAAAAGCAGATATTTACCATTCGCCTTATTTAAAAATGAAAAATATTGAAATTCAGCACAGCAAAACGGTTTAAACATTGCCTGTGATATTATCAACGGAACACATTTCGTCATTGAGGTTTTAATAATTTCGTATTTTAGTCAGCGATGACTGACTGGACGAACATCGTAGGGCATGACGATGACCGTGACTCCGCACAAAAGACTCACGCTTGACTGAACGTGACGAGAAATAAATAAACTAGGCTCAAGATGCAGACGAATATACTGTAATTTTGTAACGTTATAGACTGCAGCACGCAGAGGAAGTCCTAACAATGGCAATTAGCAATAGAAGACACTTATTGAGTTCACCTATTTGGTGACCTAATCAAACCGGGGGAAACCGTGCACCAACATTGAATAATTGAAGAGTGGACTGAAGTATATATTTTGATTACTTTAGTCGACTAGACTAAGAGACCCATATCTTAAAGAGAGGGTCCTTGCTTACAACATCTGGCAGCTCATCAGTGTGCTTTTAGTAATTAAATTTTGCTGAAATTGCCCATTACCAGAAGGATGTGGGGCTGATGGGCTGTGTAAAATATACTTTCATTTTTTTATGTGGAGAGATAGATACGTATATGAAAGAGACATTATCTACGTTCTATTTAGACTCAAATAATAACTGAATAATATCTACAAGCTTGATTGAAATTCAACACACAACACACAAACTCATTAAAATTCCCAGGTTATTGTCCGCAACACTTTTGACAAAAATTAATAAATACAAAATTCGGACAAATTTAACGCTGACACAAATGTTCATGAGTACACCTAAAATAATCTGAAATATCCACAATCCCTGCCAGTCTGTAACACTCACCTGATGGAGCTGACACAATCCTCAAGGACTGCACTCCGTGATGACCAACCGCTGGTACTGCCGCTGCTGCAGACACAAGCCGGAGCTGTGATTCAGACCAGCATCACATACCCTCTCTCATACCGCGTATATATACCTGCAGACCCCCCCCCCCGCCTAACCACTACTCACATCACCCACACACACACTTATTTGTCACATGCAGGGTCCCACGCAACAACAAAAAAATACCCAAAATTGCTGTTGCCATAGCCCCAAGGTGATTTGAGTCGTTAGTAAAGTGGGATGGGTGGGTGGGTGGGGGGATAAAGGCACGCTGCTGTACATCTTTATCACCAGGGGTGCACCACCGTGTCGAAATGCCGCAGCGAGGCGTGGGGGCGGTGTCAATGAACGGTCAAGAAGTGATGCAGTGGTTCGGGCTCCTTGAGCACATTTTCCAGCTAATGCACAGCTAGGGAACACACAAAGTGCAGGGTGGGGTTTTTATTTAATTTTAGCGAAAGAGAAAAAAAATTAAGTCATACGCTCACACGTGTTATGCCGCCGTTGCCTGGCTACGGGAGCTTGTTTGGTTCTTTGAAATCGCGTGATGCGTGGCCGGGGAACGTGCGGAGCCAGGTGTAATTTGCGGAGCCAAAAGACTAACGGAGCACGCCGCTTCGAACGCTGGCGAGGGAGGCAGGGAGGGAGGGAGGGCGGGCGGCGTGGGCGGTTGTGACATCTCGACCCCCTTTTGAAGTCGAGCTCTGAGATGGACACGCCAGCCGCGCTGTGCAGGGGGCACGCAGGGCTTTGCTTGCTTCCAAAAAAAAATCTCACAAAGTTCAGTTAAAAATATTCAGTAAAAAATCCACGAAGTGTTCTTGAATGTATTGCTGCAGTGGTCTCTCTGCTGCGATGTGTGTTGAACTTCTGTCGCACCGCACGTAGCCAACCGCGCTAATCGATGGGCCATTGCCCGAGACATCTCGGATTCCTTTTTAAAAAATGTTGTACCTCTCTTTAGGACAGTGTAATCGATGAGTGGAGATTTTTGTCATCTGTGGCGGGTTACAACTTGTGATCCAAGACTTTGGAGGCGAGGGCTCGTGGACAAAACACATTTGCGAAACTCTCAAAAGCCACCCCGGCTTGCAGGTTTGGCAATCAGACTGCCAACCTCATTTGTGCAGAGCTTTTGGTGCTGTCCCCTATTCACACGCTCTTTCTCCAGGTGCTCCGGTTTCCTCCTACAAGCCGAACACTTATTAATAGGATTGTCCAAACATCCCGATAATGTAGGAGGGCCCCTGCCAAGAAATAAAGTAATCTAGTTTCATATTCTTAGCTCTTTCGGTAAAGTCACGTTGAAGGGAAACAATAAAATATATAAAACACAATAAAATTATTTATATATATTTTATTATTTTATTGTTTCCCTTCAACGTGACTTTACCGAAAGAGCTAAGAATATGAATTACTGCAGTCACGAAAGCTTTAAATCAAAATTTTATCTAGTTTCAGTGAGGCTTTTTTTTGAATAAATAAAGGACATTGTTGTTAATTAAAAAAACTGAAACTAATACGTCGTTGAAATGAATTTCACATTTATTTCACGGAAATCTCCCCGTGTTATTAGATAATCAAATTACAGTCATTTGTGCTTCAGATATGTAATTGCCTTCATTTAAACACGTCACCATTAAACACTATCAATATTATAAAATAACAACCTTCACATTTAGGTTGGTACATTAAAATTCACAGCTTTTTAAGAATTGTATTGCATTGATTCTCAAGACGAGCAATTTTTGCTTATAGGTCAAGAAATACTGCATAGTGATACGTTGAAAATAAAATGTTAAGTCTCAGGAATACCGTTGCATTGGCAATAGAGTTGTAAACAAAATCTGCATACTGTAAGTAATCTCCAAAGCAAAGTTTGTTTCTCTAGTCCTCTTAATGTTCCAAGACAACACCTCAAGATGCAGAACCCTTAGTAAACATTATTGTTACATTAGTATTTGGCTTCTTTAAGGCTGACTTTCTTCACAAGTGAGACGCAAATGTGCATGAAATGCGGTCGCTCGTGTGAGCGAGCGATGTACGGAGAGCACACAAACTGAAGGACAGCGCTCATCCACAACGACGTTATGCGTGCAGCCCTGCCAATCCACTGCTGGATGAGGCCATCCGCATGTCATTAGGATTATTTGACCCTACTTCACCACGCTGGACAGTCCAGGTTAGTGGCGTCGAGCAAAACAGACGTGAGAGCATGACAATACCGTCATACAATGCACTGTGCAGCCCCGATGATGACCTATTTGTGCAAGGTGGTTCTCGCATACAAGCACTATCCAGGCACAAATTGGCGCTTAGATTCAGAGATGTGACGGGATGGGCGCATTGCAGGCGATTTGATCGTGGGTGCAACACGCCTGAATACATACATATTCTATGGGTCTCTCGGTAAAGTCACGTAGATAGCTTCAAAGAAAATAACTAAAAACCACGACGTTTTTTCCCCCTCCTCCTGATGACGACCGCTTGCGTTGCGGTCGAAACGTCGTAGTTTCTTTGTTATTTTCTTTGAACCTCTCTACGTGACTTTACCGAAAGACCCAAAGCATGTGAATTCCTGCAGTCGCAAAAGCTCTAAGTCAAGATTTGAACACGTACGGTCGGCGACGATGAATAAATTAAAAGTGGGGGCAAACCTGGCTGAATGACCCAGTGCCGTGAACCAGTCACGGCAAATGCGGGTAAGGCGACGGGCCGACGACGGAGAGCTCTGGCAAACCGGCACCGCTGTTTTGTCGGTGCCGCACTCGAAGCCGGGTGCACCGCGGCCATCCAGGCACTGGCGATGACGCGGCTACGCTGCACGGACGGTGGCGGCGGCCAGACAACACGTTTGGGCTCGAGATATTAACAAATTAAAGCACGCTCACAACTTGATGCCGCACACTTAGCATAACTGCTGAAAGTGAACTGTGGCATTGACGAATGTGTTGTGCTAATTGTAGGCGTGCAAAAGATTCAAATCCCTGCCCCCTCCCAACCCCCACAGTGATTTGATGAACGTTTCGGAGACACGATTCGATTCTGAAATAAGTTTTTGCACAGAGTTGAATGTAGCGGGCCACTAGTATCCGCAGGTGGGTCATGTGACTCATGAATGTACATCCCTTTAAGCCACAGATGGATGGTCTCCCCAAGCCGTGTCAGTCTTGGTGGTTGTTGGACAGCACTACATCACACGGGTCAATGTGGGTTGGTGAAGGGGGAGTTTCAGAATGTGCCACCAATGTCAACCGTGGCCGAGAATCAACTCGGATAAACCTGGTCCAGAGTGCAGTGCGCTAACGATTGCACCACAGATCCCCCTCCATGTTCCCATTGCATACAACATACATATGATTTTTAAAGTATTGATTCTTACACGTGATCATCATGATGAATGCTACGTAGTATTAAGAATCAATATTAATCAATGAATCGATATCTAGTTCTTTTACGCGTCGGGTTTTTTAGCATATAAAGGTGGTTGGAGTTTAATACAGCACTATAATCACATTTAAAATGTTATTTTTTTGGGATCTCGTCCATTCCCAAAGCTTTTTGAGCACCACTCTCACGTATACCATCACAACTTAGAATTGTAACACTGTAAATCCCCCCCCCACCACCCCCGGAGATTAAAAATGTAAAACTGCTGAAGATTGTCGTCAAGCTTAAGGCACTGATTGTAAAATCCCATGCAGAGCATTGCTCTGCATTTTGGTTCCTGACCAACGATTTGAAAGTGTTAAAGCTCCTCATTGTAGTACGTGGGTCGGGGCCACTGCAGCGCACCGAGGCTCTGCTCCTCCAGGGAATTCAGCTGCAGCGATGGTGGAACGGCATCGTGACAGCGGAGGGAGATGGAGGCGGCGATGAGCCCCATTCTCACGCACGAGTCCAGATCCCTCTGTGTGAGCAGCCCCGCGATCACACCAGCCACCAGGCTGTCGGAAAAAAATATACACCACAAAATGAGGGACTATCATCATCATTGTCCACCAATTTCGCGATAATCGTGATGATTCATCCAATACCACCAACTCAATCATCACAATCATCCGCTGCTACAAACTCCATCATCAACATCCACTATCACAGCTCCATCATCATCATCATCGATAACGATAACCATCATCTCTATCATCAACATACACTAATTCCATCAATCAACCATCATACTTCACCACAACGGCCAGTGTGGGTTACTTCTCTTCTAGATTTGAAGCTTTCGTGACTGCAAGCATACTCTTTGGTTCTATTCGGTAAAGTCACGTAGGTAAAAAAATAAAACAAAAATCACGACGTTTCGGCCACAACACAAGTAGCCTTCTTCAGGTGAAGGAACAGAACTGTCGGGACGACAGAGCTTCAATGAGTGTGGGTTACGTTGAGCGCTGGTGAACAGAAACAATTTAATGTCGCGGCTTAGCCAACGTGGAGCAAGAAAAATAAATAAAAAGTTGCGTGCAATGAGTCACGGTGCTTGTGCCATAGAGGCGAGTTCGAAAAAACGCTGTTTGTTTTGCCTGCAAGAGAGTCACCTCCTGACTCAGGGTTGGTGAGACACCACTGCAGACATCGCTGAAAGCTCAGCGGCGAGCATTGCCGCCTGTTGATGAAGTGTGATTCAAATCCGGAAAAAAAAGTACCCTCAAGTTTTACGGGAATGCTCTTATGTAACACACATCATACACTTAGTCTAAACAATGTGACCTTCCAGTTAAAATATATTGCCGTATGAGGTGATGCGTGACTGGAGTACAGCAATCTGAGGTCGGGTGATCAATCATGCAGACGATTCATACGCCGTGCAAATCCCAGCCTTCAGCGCTGCAAGGTGGCTGCAAGATGACAGTACAGCAAATGGGTTCTGGACCGGTCCATGTGACATTTTTAAAATATTAATTTCTCATAGGCATTGGTTTTCCCAGTTATTCTGGTTTTCACCTTACCCTCACAAGTGTAATGTAAGGATGTACTGCTGACATCAGTGATGTGCTTATATAGAGTGTGCTTATATCTGGCTTCTGTTACATATACAATACTCACTATTGAGTTGGGGAAAACGTCGCAATGTAGGACCTTCTAAAAAGTGACCTTGAGACTTAATGAGGCAGGCTTTCTTTATTAAGTGAAGAATGATTATTGTTAGTTTTTATTTCGATTTAAAGCTTTCGTGACTGCAATGATTCATCTTCTTTGGTTCATTCGGTAAAGTCACGTAGAATGAGAATAAAATAATAAATTGATAAAATAAAATAACACAATAATATTATCACGACGTTTCGGCCACAACACAAGCGGCCTTCATCAGGTGAAGGGGCGAGACTATCTGGTAGTACTTTATTTTAATCCAGCCAGGTGAACGTCTTCAAACTTCTTTCA